TTTGTGTATGTATATATACATAAATGTATGTATGTATGTATGTATGCATGCATGTATGCATGCATGGTTGGATGGATGGATGGACGGATGGATAGATGTATGTGTGTACGTACGTACGTACGTACGTACGTAGGTAGGTAGGTAGGTAGGTAGGTAGGTAGGTAGGTATTAATGTAATGTAATGTAATGTAATGTAATGTAATGTAATGCATACATGCATGTATGTATGTATGTGTGTATATGTGTATATGTCTATAGATGTATATGTATGTATATATATATATATAACTATATGCGTGTGTAAATGTATATGCATGTGTATGTATACATATACATGTGTGTGTGTCTGTCTGTGTATCTTATATATATAATTAAATATATGCATATACACATGTATTATACTATATCACATTTTATTACAATACATCACATTACATACATATATATATATATATTAAATATAATATATAAATGTTTTATATATTTATATAAATATGTGTGTGAGTATACTGTATACACATATATTTATAAACACGAATTGACATGCATTGGAATCTCTCTCTATTGTCGTCTTTCATAGATTGAAACATACATCCCCACTTTGAGCCATGAAACATCATAAAACATCCCCGTTCAGCCCCGACCCATTCAGCAATGTTTACCCAGCCACCGGCTTGCCAAGTGAAGGGTCCGGGTGATGGACAACATGGGTCACTTGGGTGGCCTGGGAGCGAACAGGGGATGGTTTTTCACATAGCATGAGATTGCATGAGCAAAGGTGGGATTAACATTGGATTAACCACCTGGTGGTATACCTACCCCTCTGAAAAATATGAGTTCGTCAGTTGGGGTTATTATTCCCAATATCTGGAAAAATAAAAAATGTTCCAAACCACCAATCAGCCATCATAAATTGGAAGTCATGGATCATTGGGCGGAGGGCGTTTCTATGGGAGATTATGAAAAACTAATCATCAAAGATGGGAAGTACAGTAAATTAAGCATAAAAACCATCAATCATAGCGGGGATGTAAACGGATAATTTTTGGGGGACAATATCAATGTTTCACAATCTTCCTAGCTCCAAATGATTATAAGTTGTTCCATCGGCGATCTAGCAAGAAAGAGAAGTTCCAGCTTGATGACGGGTAGCAATAAAAAGCCCCACAACTGTGGGAAACATCTCGCAAGCAGTTTAGTATTTGCACTTTTTGCAGCAGCCCGAATGAAGGCGGAAAGCATCTTACAGGCACATTGTTCTTGCACCTGCTTGTGGAAATTATAGCGTGAAAAGCATCTCAGGATTACTCAAAGCCACGTTCCATGTGGAATATCCATTCTCAACATACATCTTGAACCCAGTCTCTGCTTTGCCTAGACCTAGAATTGGATTTTTGGTTGTCGTTCGGGTATCGTTCGGGTTATCGTTCGGGGCCACGGCCAAGAAACAGAAAGTGCACGTGTTAGCGTATTAAAGAGAAACCTTTCCCTGCTGTGTATGGCTGGCTCCACATGACTACAGGCTAGCCAGGAACGGTTTCCACAGTGGCAGTTCGGCTGAGGGCGCAAAAAAGTCCACTAATACACTCAATGGATTGGTTTAAGGGAAGATCTACAGGAAAAACCCATATTTAATAGGAAAATCTATGGTTTCCTGTAAATTTTCCCCTAAACCAATCCAATCAAGCACAGAATGTCCATCAGGACAGCATTGGATGGAGAGATGTTGGTTATCGGTCTTTGCGAAGTGTCAGCTAAATGATGGCAGCAAGGATATCTTAATGGTTTTTGGTTATCGGTCTATGCACGGGGTCAATAAAAACGATAGCTACATATAAGGTTTCTACTATCATTCACTGCGCAGGGCCAATCAAAAATTGAAAAAACAAGCACTTTAACAGCCGCAGTTAGGTGCAGGACGTCTTCTTGAGACGAATCATTACTCAACAAGTGGTGGGGACAGCAATGTCGCAAAACCCTGCCAAAACGCAAATCCAGGTTTTTGACGGAAATCAAATGGGAATTCCATTGGCAGCAGCGAACTTCCACGGTGAAGTTCAGCCCTGGCTTTCGAGATGCAGGTTGTTTGTCCTAGGCTTGGAATGCCATGCGATGAAGTGGGCTTAATGGTGAAGCCATCAAATTGCAACTCGGCGAAACGCCATGGAAATGTATGGTTACCCACTGAGCTTGGGCGGCATCCTCAGTATCAGTGCCGCAAGTAGGAGTGGACACCGCACAACTTGTATTCCCTCAAGTCATTGAAGACTCTCAGTGGTTTCACCGTGAATTGCTTCAAGTGGGATCACCGAGAATGAACGAGAATCCAACATGTGATAGTCAATCTTGAATCATTCAGAGATAAATCCTACCAGTGATCGGAAGACCCTTGCAGTACTTGGGGATACTTGGGGTTTCATTTCAAGTTTGTGATCCGCCGCCAGTGATGAATGGGGCTCTAAGCATGGGATGGAATAGGTTAAAATACCAGGTGAAGGGACTATAATCTATAATCCCTAACAACGTCTCTGCCCACAGGTGTCCACAGGAGGTCTGCCCACTGCGACAGCTGTTGCATTCATTTGGAAGCCGAGGCGTCGCCGAAGCAATTCCAGGAAGGTGATGAGCTCAAGCGGCTCCATGTCGCTTCGGAAGAAAAGGTGAATTATCCCAAATAAGGGTATGGCTAACTTCATAAGCCAACTTCATACTCCATTTATAGATCATAAATCCAATAGTTAACTCTGTCATGTTTCCCAACTTACCTATCCTGCTGGCGCCCCTTCCTGAAAGAACAGACCGCACAAATTGGATTGGTGGATTCGCTTATTACCTGTGTCTCTCCCATTGCTTGTGTATCCCGCATTGCTTCTTCTGGACCCATGTTTAATCATAAACCTATCGGAGTTAAATCTGTTCGTTTCTATTCATTTTCAAGTATACCTAAAATTCTATGGTATAATCTAATGATATTCTTTTACACCATATCTTTCATCTATAATCTTTACGTGTTTTTCATTTATTTCCCAAAAAAGAAATCAGTTCTATGGATCCAGAACTCGTTGATGAAATCGAACCCTGAAAATCCATTTTTTTGTTATCCCATTGCTGGGTTGGGTTGGTTAAAGCCGTTTTTTAGCCCCATGAAATCACAAAAAAACCTGGCTTAAATCACAGATTCTGCTGGATTTTGGTTATCATTCTTTGTTTTCTATGTGTAAACGGTCAAACCTATGAAACATCTCCGTTTTTAGTTGGTGAAAATTTATGACATCTCAAAAAATGTCCTGATATACTCTAGATGGTTTACCCCATTGTAATCCCATTATTTTCCGTGCTTCATAGTTACCAATAGTTTCTAACTGGTGCAGGATTTTGTCCATCCTCCAGTATCAATAGGCACTTAATTTAACCATCAACTATAGGGATCTAATGGGCTTTGCCATGTCATTTCTCCATGGATCTATGGTTCAAGCGCCTTGGAAGTTCCAGTGAAACTAAGTTGTTCTATAACTAAAGGTATAGGGGTTATATCCCAACTATCCAACTTATGGTTTTGATTCTCATGAAAGTAACCTATATGGCTATATACCCAACTATCCAACTATGGGATATAAAACTTTTTCTAACCATAGTTATAGCATGTTATAGCCATGAAAGTAACCTCTGCATCCCCGAGGTGAGAGAGACAACTCGCCTTTCCCTTGGCAAAATACCGGGCGCCTCAGGCGCCCCAAAGGGTGAGTGGACGATCATCCCATCCTGGCGAGACATTCGGCGCCACTTCAGCGAGAAGTGGTGATTTCATGGTCGTTTTATGGGGATTTAGTTCAATGGGTTGGTTTCGATCGGAAAATCTACTGGTTTTTCCATGGTTTTTCCCAAAACATATGGAGGTTTCCTGTAGGTTTTCCCCGAAACCACTCCTATGAATAGTGAGATTACAAGGGAAAAATGACAAATTTATATTCATCAAAAGAATTCTCTGAAGATGTACCTTTCCGCAAACTAACATAACTGTGGCAAATGTTCATGTTTCATAGGTAAATCATTGAAATACATGGGCCCTTTATCTGGAGCAAACTATTAAACTACTACAGGTCCACGATATATAATGGAAACATGCCACAGGGCCCATGCCACATAATGGAAACTAACCTCAGAGCAGGGAGAATATGCTGGGATATAACAACCACTATTCGGACTATTCATTTCATTTGACGGTTGGTGAAGAACGGGATTGCCAGTTCATTGAGGAAGATCATCCTCAATACATCGCTTCATATAATCTCCAAAATGATAACCAGCAGGTGCATAAACACCGCTCAAATGGTTATCTATACAAGAAAACAAGATAGTACGATATAGAAGATTAAAGTAGCCTTGTATACTAGCAAACCTCAGTGAATAGTTTGAGCACCACAATTCTTACAAAATGGAAGAATTGAACATGGTAAATCTCAGGTACCTGGCATAAAATAAGCTACCATCTGGTTATGACTAACATAGCCATGGAAAGATCCACCATTTTTAATTAATAGGTAAACCAATAATTCTATGGGCCATTTCCCATGGCTATGTTACATAGCCAGAGGGTATTTTTTTTAGCTGGTTAGTACAATTTACCATTGCTAGCAAAAAAAACATAGAACTAGTTCGCATCCAACCGGTCGGTTGGCCCAATGATCATCCCAGGTTCACCTAGCTTTCTTGCCATGAGGTGAACCTGAAAGTAGGTCCTTTACCGATGGTATACAAACGACGCAGGATCATGTTCATTATCATTTATATATAGCCTTGTCAAACATACAAATATATAATAATAACAATAAGAAGAAGAAGATAAATGACAATAGTAATGACAAAAATAACGTATTGTTTATACATTCCCACTTTTTTCAGACTAACCCAGTGATTGGGTTGGATTTTTTACTGCCCAGTCATACTAACCTGACCTAGTTATCCTAGTTATCCAACGCCCCACTGCGTCGAGGGCGTACGTCTGTGTGGACGATGTGATTCACATAGTGGACGTGGTCAAAGTCGGGATGTCCGCCCAGATCCTCAGCAAAAATGCGGATTTCCTTGGGACAAATAGTCCCATCCAGTAATCATATAATACTATTATACTATCCTATCCATATACAAATATTATACAAAAATTATAGTAGTAATTATATATATAATACTATATAATACTATATAATACTATATAATACTATTATAGTAATACTATTATAATACTAGTAATTATATAATACTATATAATACTATCCAGTGAATGGCAATGGGATGTTGATTCAGTAAATGGCAAAGGTTTGGAAAAAAGTCGCAACCGGTTAGGACAATTACGCTATCTAATACTGTCTATCCTATCCAGTAATCAAACGTAGCTGGGACATCCCCTGTGGATGGATGCTAAAAAATGGCTGTCCATTGCAATGCTTGATTGCCAAAGGGCGGAAGATCATGGGGATATTAGTAGCATTATCGTGAGAGTACCTGAAAGCGGAATCTTTCTGACTGCCAGTGGCTCAATCAGGTAGCAGTTTCAGAGGAAATCAGCTCCATAATTTACTCATTGGTGGTTTCAACCCCTCTGAAAATATTAGTCAGTTGGGATGATTATTCCCAACATATGGAAAAATAAAACATGTTCCAAACCATCAACCAGTTTAGTTCGATGATTTTTCAATTGGAATGCGCATTTCGTTCGTGGATTGACCATTGCCATGGGCCATGATTACCCAAGGATAGGGATTGTTTATCGGTTGAACTGTTCATGTACCAACCTGTCCGGAGCACGATGAATCACACGCTTTACCCAAAACCAAACATCACCTATGACAGGCTGCTTGGGTCTCCATTGCTTGCCAAGTTTCCACATTGGGCTCTAAGCAGCCTGCAGGCTGCAGAAAAGTCTGAATTATCTTCAATCTTGAAACAAAAATCTGCTTAAGCGCTTAAGGGAGGGTACAAAAAATCCATCTATGCTTAAAACTACCTAAAACTCATGAAAACACAATCCAATACTACTCCAACTTCAAGCTTTACCTGGCAATGCATTCTGCAATTATCGTAACACCTTGCGCCAAACCTGACTCAAAGCTCGTGGCACCAACCACGCTTTATCTGATGCACGGGTTGCCATAAACCTAAGATGAACTTGCAAGAAAACCATCCATCATCGCACATCGCGATAGAACCCTGCGGGCCTTTGCCCACGTAGAAGCAACACCACTCCTCCGCTGCTGCTGTTTCTCTCCGGTGCAGGGAAAATGGGGGGGAAACACAAGTCTTGCGTACCTTGGGAATTTTACTATGCGGGCGGTATTCAAAACCAAAAGCAATCAAGACCATACCCATATGCTCCATGTATGGGTATATTTACTTCCAAAACTGGGTGATTTGGTTCGGCCACATGTTAGTAAATATTCCAGCACCATGGTGCACATGGGATATGCCAAAAAAGAAGCAGGGAACCGGTTTTTTCTGCTTGGTGAGCTCAACCGTTGCCCAAGAAATGATCAGAATCGCTCCGATTACCCGATGGATGGTCGATCCCACATTCGAACAGGTCATGGCGACGGGGGTCAAAGTTTCACTTTTGATGGGCTATGTGGTAATCCATCGGACAGTGAAAAAAATCGAAATCTAGCTCTGTATGTCTACAATGTGAGGCCCCCCAGTGATGTGAACGTTGGTTAAGAAAAGCCCCAGTAACTATATATAGTTATAAGTTATAAGTACCATAAACCATAGTTATTGGAGTTATGTTCGCCAACTTAGCTATCTTGGGGGCCTCACATTGTAGCTGTGTATGTCTACAATCTCTGGCTATGCACAGAACTAGCCATCCATCCCATCCAACGCCTGTTTCTTGCTGGACCAGCGGGCTTCAATGTGGTCGCGTCCCTCTTCGCAGTCATAGGGCACTGAAATGGAGGAGAAACAGCCCACGCCTCGGTCAAGCGTCGTCCCTGAAGGTCGACTCATTTTACCCACCGGAGAAATAAAGGCAGGTGATAAAAAATTGTGATGATTCAGAAAATGACGCCAACTTTATAGGACAATAAGTCATACTTTCGAAAGTATGCATCAGCCTATTTGAAAGAAATACAAAATGGCACACAGTTGGAACTTGAAAAACTACCCTTCACCAAGCTTTCAACTTGTAACCAGCCACCACAAGCAGGGGGCAGACAATGGGTGACTTGCTAAACAAGTCACGGTTACGACACGACATCTTAGGGCTAGACTTGGGGTGCATATTATCTGTATATCATATCTGTCTATCTATCTATCTATCTATCCATCCATCTAGTTAGATGGGATACAGTAAACCATCAATAAACCATTCGTACACCACCTTCCAACCGAAAAGTCTCACCTGGGAGCAGCGTTTCCCCAGGAGCCCTGGGAGCCCTGGGAGCCCCAACTCTGGCGGCTGCAGCACCAAGCACGATGCATCTCAGTCCAACCTGCGCCCCTGGGCCCTGGACCCCCTGGACCCCAAGGACAGCTGCGGCTGTGTATTTATGTTGCTTCAAAAACATCAGAAAGACATAGGGTTAACCATGAGCCCCATCTAATGTAGGTGAAACAATGTCATAAACCATCCCCCTAATCATCAAAAATACATAGTATATGGTGACAAAATTCCCAGTCATTTTTAGTGGTAAAAAAGGCATTGTTTTGCCCACAGACAAATTATATCAACCCTCACTGGAATGGTGTTTGGGATAGGCCCCGTTTCTGGTCGGTCAAATTTCCGCCATCCGAAAGCCTTCCACATTGATGTTTGCCCCAGTAGTACCTGGGAACGGACCCAGGTCGTGGGTCAGATCGCAGCAAGTGGGGTTATGGGAGTTATGGCACTCCCAAAAACCTACAAGAGAAGACCCAGATCCAATATTTAACTTGGCTTTCCAGGTAGAACGTTGATTGTCAGGGGGAGAAGCAATCAAAACATATCAAACAATAGACATGGATGTTTCTGGTTTGGTTGGTGGTTTTAACCATCTTGAAAAATATGAAAGTCAATGGGAAGGATTATCCCATATATCATGGAAAATAAACAATGTTTGAAACCACCAACCAGGTTTTGTAGCTGAATGAACCTATTTTCTGTGTAGGTAGCAACAAAGATAGCCCACCAACTCACCCAACAATAGTGATAAGTGATCACATCTACAAATTTGGGATATAGCCAACTTGCCCCTATAGCTACGGTTATCAGTGGAACTGCACTTATTAATCTTAGCAACTTAGTAACTGATCAATAACAGTGGATAGCAATATAATGTGGGTAAAACCATAATAAACCATCCCCAAATCACCATAAATAGGTTCTATAAACCAGTCCCAAATGGATCCAAATGGGTGGTTTATGGCATTGTTTTACCCACATTAATCAAGTTATACATGGGATATCCCCACTTCGGGGACTAACGAAGTAGGGTTATTTTCACCACGCACCCCCACAGCAGAGACTTCCTAGACGTACCCACTGACAATCAAACGTGGCAATGAAAAAAACTTACATTGTTTAAGGAATTTCCGATGAAAACTTCCATTTACCAATTTACCAATATTTTTCCATGAATTGTCCATTCAAATCAAGAAAAACCAGCATTCCTCGTGGATTTTCCACATCTATCCCATATACCCACATATTTCCCATGGATTTCTCAGTTCGCCACGCTTGAACTACACCGCAGGGTAGCATCCCAGGTACAGTCATAGGAGGCTCCAAAGGTGGTACTCTCGGTGATGGCGCTTGGGAAGACATTCAGACCACAGACGCCCTGCAGCGACAGTCCAAGGTTTAGCGGTTTAGCAATCAGGTGGGCATTACCCTCTGGTATACTGACATAACTATGCAAAAATCGGCATTCCTAATATGTAAATCAACTATTTCTATGGCCATTTTCAATAGCTATGTAAACGTTTACCAGAGGGTATATCTTTATAACCCCCAAACATGGATATCCAATGGAATACACCTATCTTAACCACCAAATATGTGTTTTTTTACTAGACAACTAGACAACAAATGGAGATACATGACATAGCTGTCTCTGAGCAGCTGCCCACTGCAGCGGGCAAGGCCATGGGAAAAGCACACAGCGGTCGATGCAAACATCCTTGGGATGTTGCCACAGAAAAATGGTGCTGTGAAATCGAAAAGATGCTCCAGGTACTATGGTACCGACCAATCATCTGGGCGAATATCGACAACTGTCCACCCTCCGTGTCAAAGAAATCACCCTCCGAGTGCTCCGTTGCGCCACAATACCAGGGATCGCGGGTGCCACCGACCCGTTGCCAAAGCAGATCCATGTACACCCGTGGCACGCAACACTTGTGCCAAAGCAGAAAACGGACAGCCCATCAAATATAGACGTCCAAGCAGTTCGGTGACACTTGGTGCATTAAGCAATTCTTGAATCAAAGTGATCACTTTTCTAGTAGTGGATCTTTGCGATTCACACTGCCAAATGACTTGCAGGGCGGACACAATTGTTGAGCTCTGAGGCACAATCACATCTCCAAAAGTATCATCTTGGCAAACCGTTGTCACATCAGCTACTCTTGTCGCACCAGCATTTTGCCCTTGCCTTTCAACACCAAAATTAGAAATCTGATCAATGGGAATTTCAGGATCCTAAAATGTAGGTACTGTACCATATTCCAGGCCATATTTTCTGGTGATATTCCCTCACGTAGGCCTGAAAAATTGGCCTTACATAGGCCTTATATATGGTAGGTACCTCCAATCAATTGGTTCCTGAAATGGCCGTTGATCTGATGTTGATCTGAGAAGCATCCTTATGAAGCCAGACATCCCACTGCATTCAGGCAATGCGTTAGCCAGCAAAGTGCCAGCAAAGTGCCAGAGCTCCTTGTACATTACATAACTTGGAGGAACATCCCACGAATCATAACTGAAAAAAATACATGGGATAATCCACTTAAGTATGGGATAACATCAATTAACTCACCAGGGTTATAAACCACTTAAGTAGTGATAACAATGCCGGAGAAACAAGCAACTGTTCAAAGCATGAAAAAATAGTAGTGACCTGACTGTTTATCTTTTGTTCGATTCGTAGTTTCCATGACTGAAATCCTGCAAGTAGAGATGGGAAACTGCCTTAGTCAAAAGCAATTTGATCAATGATGAAGTGATCATCGGAGCCATCAATTAACTAATGGGGATGCAAGGGCCTCAAAATTCACCCCCCCAACAATTGAGGTCTTATGGATTTACGGGGGTTGCTGATCACAACAACGTATGAAGGAGGCTTATTCAAAACAATCTTGTTTGTGGGAAATACCTTTTTGAAGAAGCGTTTTAATATCCAAAAAATGTTGCAGACGTGAAACTATATATATATCTATATATATACAATAAAAAATAATAGAAACACATATCTTTCTTCCAAGCCTTAGTATGAGCTCCTGATCAATGCGTAGTTTCAGGGCCAGAGCATGGTGAAATTCTGGGTCTCAGTTCGTCCTTGCTGAAGAATGAAAATGAATCGAGCCCTGCTGGAATGCCCAGCCTCTTCCCAGCAATCTGCGTTGATTGATTCCCAAATCAAGCGCTTCCCCATATTTCATCAGATATAAATGTATGTGCATGCAATGCAAATATTTTTTTTGTATATAAAGCAACCCCAAAAAAGACGGAAAAAAAACATTTTCAACATGTTATAGATCATATTTACTGCATATTTCCAGGTTTCTCACATTTCTATCTTTTTTCGGGTTGCTATAAACTATTATACAAACAAGTGAGGTGCCGAATCGATGGCATTGACATGGCCTTAGTGGCCTATCACAACAGGTGCTGAGGACAAATGTTTGCCCCATCGCAGGAATATTGCACCCAACACCGAAGTTGGAGGTGCAAGACCTAGTAATACTTCCAAATCAGCAATTTCAAAAAATAGCAGGGTGTCAAAACCCTGGTACCCCTGTAGTTCACATCAAAATAGCTGGGATTTATGGATGTTTATCCCCCTAAGAATGGTCTTAATAGGTATTGATCCATACCCAAATGGCATTGTGCAGTGTCAAAATGAGTCCACTCATTTTACACTGGCGTTCTGGCCAGCTGAAACGCTGAAACTTTGAATCCCAAGGCTTCCCCTATAGCCTGAGACTGGCAGCAGAAACTTCGCTTGGCGACTGGCCAGTACCTGCCGCCAAGCGTTGCGTGGAGCCTGGAAAACCAGGCCTTTGCAGCCTTCAAAAATAGTGAATTCACCAGACAAATTCAGAGACTTCAAGGGATTTCATGGGATTTCAATCCATTTAATATGGTTTGAATTTGGTCAAGTCTTCAAGTTGGTTGGACCTCACCATTATAGCCATAACATGCCAGGGGGAATGAACTGAATTGACCATCAAAGTTGGGAAAACATGGGTAAGCAACCACCAACATGGGCATTATAGTGAAATTGATCTGATGGGACACCATTCATTTCTAGCCTTTCGCAATTCAGCCATGGAAAATGACCCATTTGTAGATGATTTAGCATAGCTATGTTAAATTACCAGAAGGTACCCTCTGGTAATTTAACATAGCTATGGAACATGGCCATTTATAGTTGATTTTCCCATTACAAATGGTGGATCTTTCCATAGTTATGTTTGTTTACCAGAGGGTAAATGGTGATTCACTTTCAAACATATATCTCAAATACGATATGTACAGTAATGAACCCCAAGGTCAACACACACCATTGATTGTCACGATTCCACGAAATTGATTTGGACGTTCCTTTTCCAAATTATCATGGCCAATCTAGCGGTCTGTTATTTAGCTGGTCAGGTTGCTATACCTCCATTCTAGGCAAACACATCAACATTGATAACATCTGGTTGGTGGTTTTAAACATCTTGAAAAATATGAGTTCGTCAATGGAAAGGACGACATCCCATATATGAAATGGAAAATAAAATTCATGTTTGAAACCACCAACCAGGTATATTAGTGATAGTTCTCAACTTATTAATTATAGATGGGTTAATGTAATATGATAGTTTAATATATGGTAGTTATCCTAGTTGATGATAGTAATCAATGAGAATGGTTAATAGTTATTTTCCGATTGTATCCATCCATAAAATCCACATGATATCCCCATAGATTGATGGCTGGTCCAGGAATCCTGGGAAAAATGCCACATTTGTCATCCCATTGCGGCCATTGCGGCTGCCCCGGTGCCTTTTTTAACAGTTCACCTATTACTTGCTGGTGCTAAACGTATGGAATTTTCGGGAATGATCCATTTCATCACTAGCAATAGTAATCCCAGCAACCCCCATTCCTATCCACTCCCTACGTTTAGCACCAGTAAGATTGGCTGAATTACAAGTGATTTCACCATCCTGAAAAAACCTGGAATAACATGGTGAATCTCAGATACCGGGCAAAAAATATCATTTTTAGGTGGCTAGTACGGTTTACCATTGATAGCAAAAAAACAAAGTACTAGTTCGACCAAACCTGCACTGAAAATTGGTCATCATCACTGCAAGAAAGAACTAGTTCGCATCTCGGTTGACTCCATATCCTATATATCCTATATATCTTATATATATCCTATATATGTATATATGTATCCTATAGTTTCGCAGTATGTATCCTATGGTTGATATCTATGTATATATATCCCATAGTATAAGGCCATGATTGGGGTATTCCCCTAACCATCGAAGGTCGTGGAAGAACTTCGGCCCTGGCGCGCCCGCCTTGTTTGAACCTCGTGGAAGATCTGCTGGATGGCGCCTGTGGAGGGACCACAAAAAAAATGGTCAAATTCCATGGGTTTTCCCAGTCAATGAGAATTTCAGGATCCAATACATGGAGGTACGTTAGTACATCTGTACCATATTTTGGGCCATATTTTCTCGGGTCATTCCCTATGAAATTTAGCCCTGAAACATAGGCCTAAAAAACATGTTGGATAGCTCCAATTCTTCAGTTCCGTGGCCGTTTTGGTTATCTTCGGGAACTTCACCATTGATCATCCTATGGGCTTGCGGTCAACAGAAGAGTGTTTTCCCCACAGTTCTCTGTAGACAAAATGTAATTCCATTCTATGATAATTGATGATAATTGATGATAATTGATGATTGATAGTTGATGTGAATTCCATTCTATTGATATGATCAATCTATGATAATTGGTGTGAATTCCATTCTGTATCCCTATTGGATCCCATGAATATCCCAGGCTATCATAGATAGTTATGACCATGGCTACATACTGGTAAATCAATTTCCATGGATAATCATGTTAGATCATCACATCAGATCCTGAAATTGTAGCATAAATTTGGCAAATTCCTGAAATGGGGGTAGCCCTAAATCATCCATTTGAACCAGCTATTGGGCTCCCTGATGGACATCCCCATTCCAAGACTGTTACCCTCTGGTCAACGTTTACAGTTTGCGAACTGGAAAAATTAATCTGGTTTGTGGTATACCTACCCCTCTGACAAATATGAGTTCGCCAGTTGGGATATGGAAAAATAAAATTCATGTTCCAAATCACCAACCAGATATTATTATGGTGATTATTGATGGTTTCTTCTTGTTTTACCCACGTTATTACCATAGGGGAATCACCATCAGTTGGTTTACCAACCAAAAAAACATGTGATTTTGCCCCATACTAGTAGCTAAGTTGGTGAACATAACTCCAATAACTATGGTTTATGGTAGATATAACTATACCTACTATGGTTTATAAACCAACTACAGTAATAACTGAGGGGGGCACCACATTGGGGCACGACGTTGGAAATTCCCAGTTCGAACAGTTCCATGAATCCAGATCGGCGCGGCACCTTCTGCGTTAAGTGCCACCTGGGATGATGCCACGGGAGCCCCCGGCCGGTGGCGTTCAGAAACGCCTAAAAGAAGTGGCTGAAATCTATGGTTTATGGAGGACAACATGAAGTTTAAAACCAACTCTGGTTGGTGGTTTTAACCATCTTGAAAAATATGAGTTCGTCAATGGGAAGGATGACATCCCATATATGAAATGGAAAAAAAAAATGTTTGAAACCACCAACCAGCAACCAGCATAACTGGGGGGCAACATCCAGTGATGCTTCACTAATCTGAAATAACGCTATTTTTGTTTCCCCCCAAACCCGGCCAGGCGCGTCAGAAACGAAAGGTCTTTGCTATGCTTCAGCGGGGCAGGGGTCCTCCCACCGGGTTTCGGCGAGGAGCTTTTTTGGGAATGATTGCCCTTACTAACCATGATTCCAGTGAGGTCGCAGTGAGGTCGTTATAATATGTTATAATCTACCTATACATATAAATATATATGTGTAAATAAATATTTATACCTATATATATATGTTATACACATATACCTATATATTGTATCACCAAGTTGTATATGGGATATCCCCACTCAGGCGACTTACTAAACTAGGAATTTCAGAAGGTTAGGAGCCGGTTCTTGCGTTCTAAGTTGGGAACTATTTGGAGGTTGTTTTGTGTCTTGATTTTGGACATTGTTCTTTGTTTCTGGGATAAATGGGAACCAAACACCAAAAGAACCAGATATTGTGGCAATTTCACCGGTAAAACGCTGCTCATCATCTGGTTCATGGCTAATCCCATCCAAAATTGCACTGAGGCCGTTATAATAATCCAAATGTAGTGATTCTCCCACTATATCCATTGACATCCACATTTCCCATTGATGGTTGAATACCCAATATGTGCCATTTACAACTGTTAAATCCTTTATTCCCATATGCTGCATGTGTGGAATATTTACCAACATTGGCCCTAAAAATCACCCATTCTTGTAGGTACATATACCATACATGGAGCATATGGGATTTATCACCCATGTGTTAAACCACTGAAGGCTACGTCGCTACACCTTTCAGTTCATCTGAGGTCGCAGGCGGTAGCCAAACCTGCGTTAAACTCATCACCTGCAAATCGGATCAGGTCAGATTCACAGGGCGCTTCGTCCCCCAAAAAAAATCAGAGATTAACCCCTTCCACCTTCCACCGTTCATATTAAACACCACCGAAACGAAACCATGGTGGATGTAGGGAATTTCCACATTCCAGTCGGGCCAAACAAAATGGGGTGTTTTTTTATATGAACGGGTGATGGGATTCATGGGATTGTCATATGATTTCATGGGATTTTCATGGGATTTTCATATGGATTAGTGTCTGAGTTTAATCATGAACACTTGGGATGTTAAACTGGATGCTGATCATGCTTAACCCAAAGATTTGAGGATTTGATTTCATAAAAACCCAAGGAGGCTTCCCAAAGAGAACAGCCCCAGTAGATGATATGTACCAAAGAGAACTTTCAGCTTTCCAACTGTTCTGAATCTATGTCAGCTGGTGTGAACACGAAACATCTGTGTTGTCTTCGTATATACTTTAGTTGGGGATCCTCAGCCCTTATGGTTTAAACAAGTCAGAACATGTCCAAAAGTCAACAAGACAGAGTGGGATATCGATAGCAATATATACCCTCTGGTAAACTAACAGAATTATGGAAAATGACAATTTTTCATCAGAAAATGAACTATAAATGGTGATTTTCCATAGTTATGTTAGTTTACCAGAGGGTAAGTATCGAAAAATACATATACAACTTGACATATGGGCGTAGCAAACCGAAGGGTCCGGGATGGGGAGATTTCCATTAGGTTTAGGGACCGAAAAAAAAAACAATGGGAATGGGAACAGATTGAGTTGGTCCATGTGTAATGTGGGGTCTGTCCTTAAAACGGTATAGCGTATGTATCCACATGCATTTAATGTATATGGCAGATCAAACCCAACATAGTGGGCACTCGATGGGGATTTACTGAAATATGGGAATGAGTCAAAACCCTGGTACCCTAGGTACCCTACAATAGCTGGTTTATGGCTATTTATTCTCCCAAATATGCTAATAAGAGGTTTTGACCCATTCCCATATAGTGGGGATGTGATCAACCATGAAAATTCATGTTGGTTCTCCTCCCACGATGCAAGTTGAAGATTGAGGGATCTTGCGGAGGACTGCAATCGGTTTGGGGGCACATTGGTCAAGATTTCTCCCGAGCGAAAGGAAGATATATATAATCTAAATAACTCAAACATGGATTGCCTGTAGGTTGCAACGGTTAGAACATGTGTTTAATACATGCTTGGTCTCAAGCCTTTGTTTCCATGGACACACGTATTTTTTTGCTGGGATGCAAGGTCTGTTTCAAGTGCTGGAGGATGGACCGGACGTGGAAACATAACAATGGATTGACGTGATAGAAGCGTATCTTGGGCAGTTTCTTTCTTGGATGCTTCGAAAATCCACATTAATTAACATTTGATGGACAGCAACAAGGATACACCCCCCAACAAAAATTCAAGCAGAATGGGGCCACAGAAGCAGCAGTGACCAACAACCACAACCGTTGCGAAGATTCACATCTTTGCAGCTCAAATGTTTTCGCTTCAGAGCTCCATGTGCAAAGCCTAGACTCCCCCAACCAGGCATTAACCATCATCAATTTGATTCAATTTCATTAAAGAAATTCCGGTCCATCAGTTCCCAATCTCTCCATGACCCACTCGTGTTTCGTTCTTGTTTCCGCGCAGCCGAGGAACGACTTAAGGCCCCGTCGCCGTCCGCATCTTTGGTCCAAAGTTGTTGGTCGATGCTTTTCTTCAAGCCCCTTGGGGTCAACCCCAATGGCAGCCAATGGGGACAATATCAATAATAGCCATGATTGATTTGGTGATAAATATCATCACATCCAATTTCAACATATATTTCAAACATCCCTGGTTTATCATACAACCAGTCATGGTAATCATGGACCAAAAAACTAACTGGATATAATCAATAGCCATTCCAGGAACCCAAATTTCAGGTACCTACCATATATTAGGCCTATTTTTCAGGGCTAAAATTCAGGGGATATACAACTGACCCTGGATTTCGGTGACCTTCCCCCTCGAAACATGTTGTGTCAGGGCGAACCTCCACCGGACTATGACTGTGGTCACGTTTGGGGCTTGGTGGGCTTGGTTGAATCCTCAGATGGATATACCATCTGGCTATTTAACACAGCTATGGAAAAATCGATAAATTGCCCATTTACCTTTTAAACATGATGATTGACCTATTAAAAATGATGATTTACCTGTTAAAAATTGATGATTTACTTATTGGAAAATGGATTTATGGTGATTTCTCAGTTCGCTACGTTAAATAACCACAGGGTACATGGACATGACCAACCTTGGACGCCCAGCATATTCTGGTAGCTCATCAGGATATACCACCACCATCAAAAGATTATATAAAGCCATGAAACATGCCCATCCAAGGTTTAGCCAGTCAAAAATGTCTGTATAAGCATATCTGGTTGGTGGTTGACCTACCCCTCTGAAAAATATTAGTCAATGGGAAGGATTGTCCAATATATTATGGAAAATAAAACTGTTTGAAACCACCAACCATATATCCATGGATGATTTCCCCTTGTGTTTAGAATATCAAAATGTAACACAAACAAAAAAGGTCTGGTTAAGGGGTTATTAACCCCCAATTATCCCTTATTGTTGGTTTGTTGAACCCCTCTCTTTATCGTTGATGTCTGGGGCGCCCTTGGATTTCCAAGATCCGTGGCCGCAGTGGCAATCAAACCTTCCCTGAGGCTCACAGCAGCCTCGAGGACTGAAAGGAAGCGGCTCTCTTCGGAGCTCCCGGGCTGCAGTACTTGTCGAGGGATGCAGCTCGTGACAAAGAACCAAGGACGCAACGCTTGACCGCCCCGCAAAATGCCAAGAGGTTGCTTGCGCTCGCAACCTCCGAGTCAAGTTCGATCCTCATTTCCTGATCGTTGTTCCATTCATGCAAGAAAAACACATCCAACTCCTCGCCATCATCGAACTCCGCATGAACTCCCCCGCCATTGGCGCAAAATCTCATCGCTGCCACTTGCAATGCGTTGCTTGTCGGCTTCCTGGCACTGGCGCTGGAACCCGACACCTTCTTCCTTCGACATGGCACTGCGCCACCGGCCGTGTCGTCCGCCAAGTTGACTTCGACCACCTTTCGCTTGGACACCATCCTGCTATCCACAGCACACACAACGTCACGACCACCGCTCTGGCGAGCCAAAATCATCCAACCATTTCGGCCTGTTTCAAGTCTTTCCCCTGTCGTGCAGTACACTTTTGTAGCAGTATGACCGATTCACAACAACTGTCCATTAAAACAACCTTGTCTGTACGCGGGAATTCAACGTCCAAAATCAGGCCAGGAACCTTTCAAAACTTGCCCAACCCAATCTCATGCCCGGCCTTGGGGAGGGATCAATAATTGGAAAAAGGGGCCCCACATTTATCGATCATAATTTCCAGGTGTCTAAATTCTAAATAATTTATAGCACACTTGAAACAATAGGTTTCTTAATTATAAGCATAAACTGCCTACGTTGGACTTAGCTAACTTATAAGTCTTCAAAGTAAAATCAAGGTTTTTATATCATCCATTTGTTGTTTTTCTTTTTAAATGTTGGTAAAAAACAAATCAATGATAAAATGAAAAAAAATATGTTTTTCTATTTTTTGGATGTTTTTGAAGCTCGATTGTTTTTTTGGGATGGTGACAACAATATCTGGAACCTTTGCATTTCCACCACTTGGAAGTGCAGCTTTGTCGATGTACAGGAAAATTCGAAGGTTGTGAGATCTGTAGCCACTGCTGCCAAACATGCCAGCTATCACATGTGACCCACCGTTTAGTATTCAAGTTGAAGGTACATCTATGGCGGCTCAATGAGCCGCCAATCAAACAGAAACAGCGCTGATTGACTTCTAATTCTTTATATATTCGAATTTGCTTATCAAGCCTGTTACATTTTCTTGCGGCCCATTGGGCCGCACGACAAACTGCAAAAACATTTGACATATAATCACATCAGAAACTTGGTCGAAAATGAAAAGCCTGGAGAATAACTAAATTGGAATACATTGATCCCCTCCATCCTCCCAGAGACTGGAAATCACACGCCATGCAACTGGTGATCTCAGAAAAAGTTGGGGGTGTGTAGCCATGTGTAGACTTATTTTGTTGAACAACATATGATAAAATCATGTTCTGTGTGTCTTGTAAAGACCATGTATATGCATGAGCGGCTCAATGAGCCGCTCCTCTCTCCATCAAAGATCATTGATATATATATATATATGTATATGTAATTCTGGTTGTTTATGTATAAGATTGTATAAGTATACATATACTGGTTGGTGGTTTCAACCCTCTGAAAAATATTAGTCAGTTGGGATGATCATTCCCAATATATGGAAAAACAATTCATGATCCAAACCACCAACCAGATATTATACTTGAATATACTTGAATTATAGTTATATTGATTGGTGGTGATAGTGATCCCTTTTGCTTAACTATGATTAACATCAACATGGTTTTGATCATCATTCATCTGGGTAAATTATAGTATTTCACTACCCTGAATAGTTCGGCCATTTTGGGATGATTCCCCGAATCCTAACTATGATTTCCAGTGAGGGAGACCAGTGAGGTCGCTATAATTTACCCAGATTGATTATATCATAAATCAGCGATAAATCCCATTGAAAACCATCATTTATGTTGGTTAAATCACAATTTTTCCCAGATATATCCATTATCATCCATTTACCCAGATACGGACGACGTATTTCACCTCATGGATCAGCAGAAAAAACGTCGCCGAGACGCCCGTGGCGCTGTAAAAAGCCCATTTCGATCTTCGTCACCTTTTGGTCCTGCGAATCGCAAGTGGCGATTCGCCCATATACTTAGTAAGTCCCCGGTGATGTTGGGGACTTATCCCACATCTATATATTACAAATATACATATAAATATAATATATGTTTATGTTTTTATTATTTTAGATTTATTTATTTACGTAGTTATATAATATTATATATACATATGTATCCATATATATCCCAAGAAGTTGGGAATAGTGGGTAAAAAAAGGGCCGCAATTAAACTATGGTTATACATCCACTAATATAACTGGAACTGCACGCCAAAGTCTCGTTATTGACGGACAATTCAAAGCATGTAAATTGGAGGTACCTGCACGTAAGGTCGCCTCTGGAAGGGAATATCATCCTGAAATGTAACCTTGTTTGCCACAATACCATATTAGGTGCCGTACCTCAATAGGCCCTTGGCTCATGGGACCCTAAAATCAACAAACAGATCGCCTACCCAACTGAACTCTCTGATGGAATCTTTATTTGGGAAAAGCACTACTGTCCTAGATGTACGATCCCCAGGAATGATACGTGTAAGTGTATATGGTCGAAAAATGTGAGTGTATGATATCGCACAACGGGGAATATCCCATCTGACAGGATGATTGGGGGGCTCCACTATGTTCCAATGACACAGTATTGAGTTGGCCCCTGAGGAAGGACAATTCATGGCGAGGGTCGATGGTTCAAACCAGCATCCAGCATTCAGTACCAAGCTTTAGGGGTGGTTCATGCTGAAAACAGTCGGACATGCCATCCCAAAATCAAATACTTTCCTCGTTGAAAACACCACTTGATAGGATCCTACCACTCTTATTAAACAAACCTGCGTGTTGCATCTGTATGACACAACTTTTGTTGGAGTATGTTCCAGTCATGTTCCACGTCTACACATGGAAGGGATCTGTAAAGATCATACACACCCATTCAGATGGCCAATCTTACCATTACTTGGCTAATCCTCCCCACCTTAATTTGGCATGCCTCCGTTTGAAAAAACGTGGGAATATCCTCATTGCTAGGGTGGGTGCCTTTGTGGAGAGGACCCCGGCTATTGCATCACCACTGCCTCCCCCAGGTGTCCAAACTCTTTTTGACCCGCTGCTGCTGCATGCTTGTGCTTCTGCAGGTGTTCATCTGAAGCGTCATGTGTTTTTGGTCACCTCTATATGCCAAGGGCCAAGGGTACAATCGCGCCCAATGTTTACATTGTCAATTGGTCGGGTTCGTCCATTAAAATGTCTAGAGAACTACTGTAGTCATGAACCACGCCAGTGTAGACACTAGGTGGGACAGTTTGGGACCCAGCCCACGGGAAAATGTCAGGACTCATCTGCAGGAGATGTGTGACTCCTTGTTTCCTCCCTCTTGCAGCACACAGGTTTGCACAGGCAAGGAGACAAAAGTGAGATCTTTTCGGATCTTTGAACGCAAAATAACACTAATTCACAACTCAGAAGGTTTTTTGGGGGGCCTGATACCCTCTACAAACTATGTTGTGTGGTGGGGCCGGCCAGTTGTGTGAAATTTGACCAGTTGGGATATGAGTGGCTCCTGACTTGGTGATAACCCAGTTATTTCAATGAATGGCTTCTAAAGTTTGACCCTACCACACAAACAACGGATGAGTTGACTCATCCGGGCTATTTGTCTCTTTGGCACATTTGTTTGACTACAACATCTTGGTTTCCATATTGGATGATGCGACTACAAGATAGCTGTATCATAACATATTATACCCAGTGGCAAACTAACATAGCTATGGAAAACAACCATTTTATAGGCAAGCAGAGTACATTACAATACTATAAATGGTTCATTTTCCATCGTCATGTTCACTTTACAAGAGGATAACTGCAAGGTGTGACGTCCCCGACATGAACACCTGGTGTGGCAAATTGCCCGATGCCTTGATCGGGATAGAAACAACGGTTTTCGCCAAGAGAGCCATGACCCTGGGCTGCCGTAAAAGAGATCCGGTCATCAAACCTGGCAGCCAGGACGACACACCGAATTTGATGACTTTCCTTATAGAAAACCATGATCAAACGCTGGCGCCATGAACTTCCGGGATTTCCCAGCCTTGTTGACACCGATGGGTAACCGGGTAACACTTCCAAGGGGAAGTGCCACACCAGCGCACATGACCGATTTTGCTCAGCTTGTGCCTCAAACCAGCGGTTCCAGCAGTCTGCCCACAAAAGATCAACACATTCTGCAGATTTCAAGGATGTTCTGCAAGTTTCTCCGAACAAATATGTTACAATTAGGACAAATCATCTGGTTAAGCGTGCAAGATGTCAATCTATAGCAAACAACTAAGGTTGACCCAGAACTTCTCAGGGTTTGGTTGCCAAATTCCTGTGTGTTTTCTTAATTCACTGGCTGGGACCCAGAACCGACCTAGAAATTGAGAAAAATCAAAAGGCATCTTCCTAAATTTGGAAGTCATACCAGAAATTCACATCTAAACATTGGAAATTTACATCTAAACTCTCCATCTAGATGATGAATTAGATTTAGAAATTAGAATTTAGAAATTTCTAGAAATTTCATCATCATTCATTTCTCCATCTAGAAATTAGAAAATTCTAACTTCGGGAAATCAGGAAACATCGATGCCGCCTCAAGCCGCCACCCTCCAATCAGCCCAGCGAGTCGAGGATGGACGCGCCAATCTGGCGGCGAACATGTCGTAGGCCATGGGGTGATACTAGTTTTTTTCTAATATTTATATAACTATATATGAAGAATACTTGGCCAATTCTACAAAAAAATATGGAATTTATTGGTTTTTTAGTGATTTTTGTCAAACAACCCGGATGAAACCATGAAGAATGGCTACTTTATGGATAACATTTCTCAGAATTTCATGGGTATCATCAAACAACTTAGATTTAAGCACTAAAATGGGGGGATCTAACCTCCCCTCCAGTAAATTCATATAGCTGCAGTACATGGAAGAAACTATGTTTGAACCATCGCACCTATAGAACATGGGGATTGAATCTGGCACTCTGGCCTTGAATAAGTGGTTCATACATCAAAGACATCTTGGACGTGCATTCCACTTAGGAAGCGGCCAACAATCCAGACATACTTGAAGTATATCTCATTATATCATGTTCTCAGCTGGGTTAAATACATATTAGCCGCTTACCAACTGCAGCACGCATGCAAACACATCGTCGATCGAGCAACGACGATTGATATTTCTTAAGGCGGGACATTTACTCGCGCATGATTTTCTCTCACATTGGGTTACAAGCTGTGCGAACCCCTTTGAAACCAATGAGTAACTTCCACCATCAAGAAAACATTGTTTCAGTCATCTATTGTCTTGATTGCAGCTGAATACCACCATTACAAACACACACATAATATATATTATATATATATACTGTACATACTGCTGGCCTTTGGGCTTTTGCCAAATTTCACATATTGGCAACACATCTAGATATATCATCATCATCATCATCATCACCATCATCACCATCAGCATCAACAACATAATTTTCAAGATATTTGCCTACTTATGCCATCATTATGACACCATAGTGGTAAGAGCATCTAGGTACATCATCATCATCATCATCATCATCATCATCACCACCATCACCACACACTTGATTCTCTTCTTGGACGTACATCCCACTGAGTGATTTGCATAGCCCATGGGAACTACGATACTTTGTGGGAATCATACTATTGAACATGATTGAACAAAGTAGACACGTAAGCCAACAACAAACCAGACTACAACATTTAAACATTAAAAAACAACTTGATTCTAAAAGTCAATTCGTAGCTCCAACTGGTTCCCCCAGCTTCTTTCGGGGACAAAAAGGGGGGCAGCATCCGCCCCCGACCGTTGCTCGCTTCGCTGCGCCTTGTCATGGTGGCCGCGGTCTGGAAGAAGACGCGTTGAAAGCTTTGGACTGACTTCTTGCCTTGGCTTGGGCATCAAAGCTGGTGGTTTCACCATGAAACATTGGGAGAGTTTTTTTATGGTAAAAAAGGTTTGATTTTACCAAGAATGATGGGAATACTCACCAATGAAACTGGTGAAACATGGTGAAATATGAGAATGAACTAACCATAAAAATTGGTTTCAAGGTGGTGCCCCTGTTTCTTAACTGATGCCAGTTTAATAACAAAAGTTGATAGCTAGGTTAAGTTTGTTCCATACCTACATGGAATGACCTATACCTGGAAAATCCACCTATGCAAAATTATCGCTCAAAATCCGAAACAGCAATAGTTGTCGCCGGTTGCCTAAAATATCACCGTTTCCAGTTTTTTCGCCGTTCCGTCGGGTTTTTTCGCTGTTTCGTTGTGATTTTTCCGCCGTTTCAACACCGGCAAACACGTGCAAAGGCAGAAAAATACAAAACTTGCTCACAGGCAGAAAAACATGTCGCCAGCAATAATTCCTGAAAAGGCAATAATTTTACATACGTTGAAAAATGCAGGTGCAAGATGGTATAAGACTTACTATTGTACCTAGTTACCCCCAGTGAAATATGGAACATGTATTTGGTGGTCGTTAAGCTTTCATTTTTTTGACCCAAAAATCGCACTCAGGACCTCAAGAATCCACTGTGGTAAACCCAAATGGTTGGTTTCTGGGATGGTTGGTGACTGGGTTTTACCAGGTCTGGTTGGTGGTTTTTCGCCTACCATCCTGGTTGGTTAATATACCTGGTTAGAAGCATGGTTAATATTAATGGTTATTATGTGGTTTTTGATGGTTTATAATATCTGGTTGGTGGTTTTGAGCCTACCCCTCTGAAAAATGATGGAGTGAGTACCAGTTGGGATTATTGGGAACCCGACTGAATGGCAAAATAAAATTCATGATCCAAACCACCAACCATTTTTTTCTTATCTTGGACATTTTCAGGCACATTTTGGGGCCAAAAGGCACGTTGCAACTAGAAAGGTCTACGGTCTAAATGTTCAACTGCCACATGCGTGTGAATGGACCAAGATTGGATGTTTCCAAAATGTATTGCCGAGAATGACCCGGCAACATTGCCTATAGGTAAGACAACAAAGGATAGTCTTGACACTTTCTTTTGTCAAAAATGATGTCAGACCATGTCAAGCCATGTCATACCATATTGCAATCATTGGATGATGGGTTTCGCCTACAAGTCAGCATCATTTATGCTTCTTCCCTCCGTGCCGCCAACTGCAGCCGGCCAGCAAGTGGGACATCGGATGTCCGGAACGAGGCCACTGCCGTCTGGCAAGGCATAGCCTCAAGCTTCGAGTCGGCCCCTTGAAGCTGGTGTCTCCAAGTGGTTGGTTTATGTTGATGTGTGACCTAACAAACACCACGAAAATCACATCTTAGAATCTAATCACCATAAAGCCTGGTGAAATCTTAGTTACAAACCGACTTGGCAAAGAGACTGGGGCACCCGGGCACCCCAACCTTTTCTCATTCAAAAAATGCCAGTCTAAGGTCCAAGTAGCGTAGGGAGCAGCGGAAACAAATCAAAAGGTGCCCGCATGGTAAGCACCTCGCTGTGAGCTAGTGACATACGTTCAGTTTCAAAGCAGTCAAAATTTTCAAAATGGTGTTTCACACTTTCACACAATACCCATTTTTAGTAGGTAAACAATCTATTTCTATTTCCAATGGTAGCTGGTGCTTGAAGACTTTCCAGTGTTGTCTTGCATTGGTGGCAAGGCTTTCTCCATGTTTCTCCACTCGCCAGTTCCGTCCGAATATTCGTGGTTACCTGGCCTTGCTGACTTGCGTTTACCATCTGGTTATGACTAACATAGCCATGGAAAATCACCATTTTTAATAGATAAACCATCTATTTTAATGGGCCATCTATACCATGGCTATGTTAGTCATAAGCGGAGGGTAGGTGGGGGATTGGTCATCAATGAATGGCACGCGCGTTCTCGTGTAAAAAAAAAAATATCAAGTCTTGTCATGTCAAGCGAGCTACTGGGCTGACATGACCTGGGCTGACATGATCCAAATTACCCTCTGGTTCTGACTAACATAGCCATGGTATAGATGGCCCTAATCGAAATAGATGGTTTACCTACTAAAAATGGGTGGATCTTTCCATGGCTATGTTAGTCATAACCAGATGGTACTGCGAAATTAACCAATGGGCTCCGTGCCATACGAACTACTTCCAGTTCATCGGTTCCGTGGATGAACAGCAATGTTTTAGTGAGAATAACCCACATCAATTTGCCATGCCACATTTCAATACATTTCACCTAAAGATGGCCCCCATCCCCATCTTTTATTGGAAACAACCCATTCATCAACGGAGTCAACCGTCAGTTAACCATCAAAAAATCAGCAGCCAAGCAGTTCAGAATTCACCACAAAAACAAAAAACCACCATCAACTGTCAACTGCCATCTTTCATGACCAATCTTAATGTACGGATGTTTAAATATACGAACTTGTATTTTGGTTTCCCTTGGCCCGCCCGGCCATTTAAACATACATTAGAAAATACGGATGGAACTGGTGTTTCATACTACCTCCGGGGCCTTGTGGTCTAGCCCGCCCTCCACATATTTAAAGAAATTAAAGTCGTTACCGTAGATATCCTTCAGCCCAAAAAATAGCCCGTAAGGTTCATATATTTCTGTGGTTTACACAAACATGAACAAATAATCAAAAATTCGTGGCTGGTGCAGCAAACTTTACCAAATAATCATAGAAAATTGTCCACAAAAATGTTACATCCAGAGACATCAAACATCAAATCATCCTTCATCCTCCTTTGCCCCAAAAAATGGCTTCAAAATCTCCAGGGCACATGGTGTTGGCCGCCACCTCATGGCACAAGATGCAGCTTCCAGTGGACAACCCCAGGCCGCCACTTTCTTCCGGTGCAGCTGCAGGTGGGGCACGGCTGGCGCTTCCTTGGCTGACGACGGGATGAAAAATCGTGGCAAGTTGCTTCACTTTCTAGTGGGATACATGGTGTTTACCCATATACTCGTTGTAGGTGTATGGCAACAATTCATCCGTCAAACCTGGCGGCTTCAGCCTCCCCGAAGACTATTGTTGTGAGTTGGTTTCGCCATAGAAGGACACAAACAACATGAAATATTCAAATCACCACCAAACAATAGAACAATAAAAAAAAATCTGGCAGCATTTTCCTCAAAAAAATGTAGTGCCAATAATTCCAGATAGTCCATGGTTAGTCACTGGGGTGTTTCCGTGCATCCTTTTTAGGCACCTACTAACCAGTAATCAAGTTCGACTATCAAACCAGGGGCTTGGGAACTGTAGGAGTTGGAATACCATGGCTAACCACCGCACCTTTGAGATGCACGAAATGGAGGGCCTTTGAAGGAAAGTACATGGAAAGGTGTGGGGCATGACCTGCCAGACCTGTCATTTCACTCTGCACCCGGGCAGTTGCGCAATGGGTTTCCGGTCACCTCTCCGTTTTCACATTTGACCTTTAGGACCTTTAGGACCTTGAGGCACCTCGGGCGCCGATACGCTGATCTTGCATATCTTGCTAAATAACTACATGCATACAATACAAATATATATATATATGTCTATATTTATGTGTATATATATATAATAATATTTATTTATGTATATATATATATGTGTGTGTGTATATATATATATATGCATTTAGATACATATATAATCCCCGTCTGTACTCCAACGTGGGGTACAGTCCTAGAAAAAAATCGGTCTAAAATGATGACCCCTATCCTTTGAGAGAGGTTTTAGAGCTTTAAATTCCTGGCTCCTAACCTCTGAAGCCGAAATCTCACTTCCAACCACCTTTTTGAATTTTCTTTGCTAATTTCCTGGTGCCCAACGTCCAACATCCAATAAATTTACCCCTCTGATATCCAAGTAAAAAAAATATTTCCTGGATGCTTGCGTTGGTAACATGCCATATCTCCCCCCCCTCAATCTGATACGGAAAAAAAATGAATTCCTGGCACCTGACTTCCCGGCTGACAGCTCGCAGTTTTTCAGAGCCCACGGCTTCACGGGTGCGGTCCGGCAGATGCCCACGGCAATGCGCAACCCTTTTGCATGGACAAATGTATCTTCAGGAAAAAACGCCTGTTTTGCAATTTGGCCACGCGTTGGAATTTGTCCCATCATTTCCTATCTATGGATGGTTGACCTGGTGATGCGATTTTTTTCCTGTGGGGCCTGCCTTTGAAGATCATCCACAAGTATTCAGTCAAAAAAGGTCCAGCCCCTTGAATTTTATTTTTGACACGTGCGCCTCGGCCTCTTGAAGTCACCTTTTTTGGTTGGTGAAGCTGAACATGTGTGTCTGTACCCTTTTGCAAGGACAAATGCATTTTCGGAAAAAAAAAAACGCCTGTTTTGCAATTTGGGCGCGTTGACACAAAATTCTTGAATTCGTCCCATCATGTCCTATCTGTGGATGATTGGCCTGGAGATGCGACTTTTTTCCTGTGGGCCAACCTTTGAAGATTATCCGCTAGTATTCAGTCCAAAAAAGGTCCAGCCCCTTGGATTTTATTTTTGACACCTGCGCCTCGGCCTCTTCAAGTCATTTTTTTGGTTGGTGAAGCTGAACATGTGTGTCTGTACCCTTTTGCAAGGACAAATGTATTTTCAGAAAAAAAACGCCTGTTTTGCAATTTGGGCGCGTTGACACAAAATTCTTGAATTCGTCCCATCATGTCCTATCTGTGGATGATTGGCCTGGAGATGCGACTTTTTTCCTGTGGGCCAACCTTTGAAGATTATCCGCTAGTATTCAGTCAAAAAAAGGTCCAGCCCCTTGGATTTTATTTTTGACACCTGCGCCTCGGCCTCTTCAAGTCACTTTTTTGGTTGGTGAAGCTGAACATGTGTGTCTGTACCCTTTTGCAAGGACAAATGTATTTTCAGCAAAAAATCATGTGTTTTGCAATTTGGGCGCGCGTTGACACAAAATTCTTGAATTCGTCCCATCATGTCCTATCAGTGGATGATTGGCCTGGTGATGCGACTTTTTTTCCTGTGGGGCCAACCTTTGAAGATCATCCCAAGTATTCAGTCAAAAAAGGTCCAGCCCCTTGAATTTTATTTTTGACACGTGCGCCTCGGCCTCTTGAAGTCACCTTTTTTTGTTGGTGAAGGTGAACATATGTGGTTGTACCCTTTTGCAAAGTCATGTAAAGAATCATACCCCCTCAATTAATCATGGTACATTTTTTCCTGGGGTTTGACATTTAGATATGTTCTAGTAAACTCCCATTTGATCCATCCACCTTCAAATTCCTGGCTACTAACCTTGGGAATTCTACAAACTTACCCATTATCAGAGTCATTCATGATTGATTTCCTGATACCTTATATGCACAGACTGATATATCAACCCCCCCCTCAATCACAACAGACAGAAATTGATTTCCTGTCGCTGTACGTCAGGAAGCTTTCAGGAAAAAAAATCTGGGCCTTTTTTGGTATGATATTTTATTCCTGGCCCCATATCATGCCCCGGGACCCTCACCCACTGTCTGCTAGATTTTTGGAAAATAGTGTTTTTAAAAAAACGTACTGAACCCCCAGGAAAAAAAACTGGTAGTACAGAGGAGGGTCATATATATATATTATTAAAAACATGTATATATATATATACATACATACAGGATTGCAGAGAAACCCTAGATTTCCATAGGGATCACCAGGGCTCCAGCCGCATAGCCCCGGCTTCCCTGCAGCGTCTGCAGCGTGCCGCGGCTCATGGAGTGGTACCGCGGCAGTTCTTGGTACTCTTGCTCACCTGATTACCGTCGTCTGTCATCGCCCCTGGTGCTATCAGAGTGCCTACAACATGGGGTAACAAGAGTAATGGAGCTATCAGATTATCAACATTCATCAACAAACAATGCGGATTTAACGTGATTTATATAATCACCACAAATGGAGGCTTGACCCCAAAATAGCAAGATCTTGGAAGATTGCCTACCTGTTGGTGCATCCCAGTAATTGGATAATAACCCATGCGTAAGCAGTGTATCTTCCACATACAACTGGGTTGCAGGCTATGGCTATTAGCCACTTACCAACTGGGACGCATATCTGCGTGCAAAAAGTGGGAACAACATGGAACAACTATAACATACCCTCTGGTAATGACTAACATAGCTATTGAAAATGGCAATTTATAGTGGATTTACCCATTGAAAATTGAGATTTTCCATAGTTATGTTAGTTTACCAAAGGGTAAATATACTATTCAACCACCAGAAATTGCAACATTCACCGGCTGAACTTACTGAATTCCTCACGGGCCAACGTTTGAAAAAATTCCTTTGACTTGGTGGTACGAGACTGGGTGATATGAACCCGCTGGCGTTGATCCCAAGCCAAAAGTTTAAGTTTTAGTGGGGCGAGGTAAATGGTAAATCAAACGCCAAACTAGACTATATATAATGGTTAGGGGGTATGTTATTGTTAAATCAGTATGTCTTAATAACCAAACTATGATAAAATAAATTGTACAAACCATTCCCAAATAGATTAATTAATATATCTGATTGGTGGTATACCTACCCCTCTAAAAAATATGAGTTCGTCAGTTGGGATGATTCTTCCCAACTGAATGGACAAATAAAAAATATTCCAAACCACCACAATGGAACCACTAATTCCGGAAAGAAAAAACGCGACAAAGAGCCTGAATCACCCGGACAATACAAAAGGATGGAGCTAGAGATAGTTGAAACCGTACTAGTGATCGATTTGCAACATGTCCGCCCTATATACCCTGCACCTGAAGTCTCAATGGAATCCCTATGACCTATAATCGTCTATTGGCCATTAGAGGTGTCTCAAAATGATGTGCCCACATGTGCCCCTAAATCCACTAGTTTTGTCCTCATGTTCTGCATTTCACACACGTCCATGTATATATATATATATATGTGCATGTATGTATGTATGTATGTATGTATGTATGTATGTATGTATGTATGTATGTATGTATGTATGTATGTATGTATGTATGTATGTATGTATGAATATAGATTGCCAAAGGGTACCCAATCACTTGTTGATATTCCAAGCAACGCTTGAGGCAGCAAGTGCATGGTTGTTGGCCCATCGCGCAGGCAAAAATCGACGATTACATCACTCGAGCCACAACTGATGGCACAACTGGATCTGGCTTCGCAAATTCTACGGGAAACCGGGTTGTTTTCCATCAAACTGGACAAACTACAATGTGGGGCCGCCAACATAGCTAAGTTGGTTTAAGACTACAATAACTAGGATTTATAGTACTTATAACTACAGTTAGTGGGGTTATAAACCAACTTATGACTAGAGGGCCCACATTGTAGGGGATAGTATATAAATTGTAAATCGGCTCCAACTTTGGTGGTTTCAGGATCCCCTGTTCAATGTGCACCAGCAAATCTGTGGCACTGCTTCTTTGAGAACAGCTTTCCCAGCCCATGTACGATGATAATATCGAGTATACATATATATATATATGTATCAAATAGGATAGAGTCCTCAGAAAAAAAAAATCAACTGGATTTTATATCACTGCTCCATTGAAATTTCAGGTAACTCAACTATTACTGGTGCGTTTTACGCGGGGAATGTTCGGGAATGATCCACTGGCTACCTATCAAGCAGATCATCCCAGCAACCCCCAGCAACCCATCCATTCCCTATGTAAAACGCACCAGTAATAGTGGATGTTCCATAGTTATAATGGATTTTCCCATTAAAAATGGTGGATCTTTCCATAGTTTGGAACAGTTTACCAGAGGGTAACTCAATGTAAGGTTCGATTTTTTTTGGAATAATCCACCCTCAAGACTTGGATCTACTTACCGGGGCGTTCACAAAAAAAAAACAAGCCTCCCACTGATTCCCCAGTGCTGGATGAAGCACTCAGAAACCTCTATATCTGTGGAATATCATGGTTTATCTATAAGGGTAACATGGGATTGTAGAATTTATCTATGGATACAATGGATTATACCCTCTGGTTATGACTAACATAGCCATGGAAGGATCCACCATTTTTAATAGGTAAATCAAGTATGAAATGGCCATTTTCCAAAGCTATTCTAAATTACCAGAGGGTATATCTAAAAATCACCATCTCAGCAAATCGAGGATTATTGCGTCTCAAATTGTCATGGCAAAATCACAATATGGAGGCATCCTACAATGGAAGTACCACCAAATCATTCATGTTTTTTTTGGTGATTTTCCATGAAATCAACCATCCAGCTACTGGGGTACCGCCATTTCATGGTCAATCTTTGGTAGTCATCAACAAATGAATCTTGGACTGGTTGGCTGGTGATTTGCCACAGCAAATCACCAAAATGTCCAAGATTAAAGTGTCCAGTTGGTTGGGTATATTATCATTATATCCGCCACTGATAGTAAATAAAACCGATCAACATATGGTTAGACTATAGCTGGTGCAACATTATCATCATTATATCCACCATTTATAATGTGGCTCAAACAATAGTAAACAATCCCCAAAATCACCATAAATGGGTGGTATAGATCATCAGAAATGGGGTGGTTTATTCCCAATATATAGAAAAATAAAAACTGTTCCAAACCACCAACCAGTGTTGATTTACACATTAGAAATGGTGATTGTCCATTAGAAATTGTTGATTTACCCATTGAAAAATGTTATTTTCCATTAGACATGGTTGATTTTCCATTAAAAACTGTTGATTTGCCAATTGAAAAATGTTATTTTCCATTAGACATGGTTGATTTCCAGAGGGTAAAACCTCCGTTTGAAACAAGATATGTTCCCATGAGCCAGCTGCAGCTTCACCCTCCGACGGTCTCCATATCCATCCCACGGCGTCCTGATTTTTATCGCACAGCAACCAAGCCTAGGCCCAACGTTTAAAGGAAGGCTGGGGAGCACAATGGAAAATACCTCTTAAGAATGTAAAGATATCTATATCTATATCTATATCTATGTATGTGTGTATCATTATCCTATCTCATTTCATATCATTATATAATTATAATGCATTAAAAAAAACTACAGTAAATACATAAACACACGCTTACTTTACCCTGGAGAATCCCAATGACTCGTTTTACTCTGGGTCAACTGTGGATTACCAAGTATGATGGGTAACATTAGTCATTTGACATTCAGGGGTCTATCGGTTGGCCTTGGGTATCCGGGAAATTGTGACATTGATCTCCAGTTTTTACGGTCCCCCGGATTGGGAATGGCTGTATTTATTCATCGTTCCTGGTTGCGTGCCATTGATTGTTGCCACAAACCTTGTGAGTTCTTGGTTGGACCAATACGTGATCATGTTTTATATGTTTTTCAGTTCAAAGACTGCCCAGTTACTGTTCACCTATCCCCAATTTTCCAGGTTTTCGGTGGTCGTTTTATTGCTGCCGAAATCAACGGTGCTTCAAATTAAACTCAGGAATCAATGCTTGGATGTGCATCCCACTTTGTTACCCGCCATACCACCCTTATTCATAAATTGGCTAAACTCCGGTGGTATGTTGGTGATTCGCTACAATACAAGGTGGTGCCCCATAGTTAGCTAAGTTGGTTATTTATAAGTCCAATAACTAGGGTTGATTAGGGGGTTATATCTATAGAATTCATGGGGATTATAAACCAACTTATAACTATGGGGGCACCATCCTGTTCCACCATGATTATGTATATAGATAATAGATAATGTATGTATATATATATATATATGGGTTTCAATACAGGGTACTAGAATACAGGGTACTTATCTATATATCATAATCAATATATATATATAGGGTACTTACTAATTTGAAGAGTTGGCCCAAAAAGTCTGCAAATGGTGGAACAAGATCCCTGCCCTATTTTTGGGTCGAAGATGGTCGGATGCTTGGGTAGGAATTTGCGTGATCGTGTATATGGGGACTATCCTTCATGAAGACAGGTGTTCACCATTCTGATCGCCCTACTTTTTTTTTGGCAAATATCAACGCAGAAAAAAATGCTCCTTCAACGGAAAACAACGCCGTTTCATATTTCAAGAAGAAATGCGAATTTCACAAAATACCCATGTTGCGGATTGTTGTGTGGCGGGTGCTGCGTGTCTGTTCAAATTATTCGCTTTGCTGTGGTGGTTCAACTCTTTGCATCAAGTTGGATTTGTATCAGCGAGACCAACTGAATGTAGAAGCCTTGGTATATCTTTCCATGTGATTTAAGGTGTGCACCTGCCCTAAGCTCATTGAGTGACAAATTCGTTTTTTTCCCCATCAAACTTGATTGTCAAAGGCGGCCTCTCTCTATCTGACGAGGCCCTGAAATTTGACCGATTCTCGTGGTTTTGACAAAAACATCAACACCTCCTCGAAATCTGATGCCTGACAACAATTGCTTGCAAACAAAAACGGTGTGCATCTATAGGTCAATGTGGTCAGGAGATTCTCTGAACTTCTCTGTAGGCCAGAGTTGGCTTAAGAGCGGCCCCCAACTTGCAAAAAACATAGGAAAATGCTGAAAATGCAAAAATCGCTCGAAAGCAATAAAATCTGCCAGATTGAGAAATTACAGGACATTTTCCAAAGAGCACAAAACATGCATACTTTGGAAGATGTAGGTATGGCACTATATATGCAAGGTGCAATGCAAGAGTCTATTTAAAAAACAGCCGCCAGTTGCACTTGAGTGTTTTTCCCTACTTTAATGGGATTGAACCCGTTCTTGGTGGTTATTGTTGATCTCCTACTTAAGAATGGATATGCGACGCCAACCCCACCCAGCGTTAGTAACCAATTTATCATAAGTGATTGCAAAACTGGCTGAATTATACATAGAAACTCAAAACCGTGAGAAAGTTGCCGGCATTTTTTCTATGCGTTAACATTTGGGTCAAGAATTTGCTGAATTACAAAAGGAAGATGAGGTACGTGTACAATTCTGTCCTTCTTTCTCTGCGCAGGGTATGTCAATCAGGGTTTCAGACGTATAGTCAGTCTGCTTCATCTGCGAAATCTGTAAACTGTGATTTGAAGCTTATAAACACACACATATGTATATACATATACATAAACAATTATAATAGTGAAATGTCATTATATTAGTCAGTTCGGATTATTCCCAATATATGGAAAAATAAAGAAGGTTCCAAAGCACCAACCAGTCATTATATATAACGCAAATTTCAGTAGTTGCGATGCATCCCCCAACCATCACTTATGAGGTGGGCGTCAGTCTCGGTTTATGAACTACCAAGGTCAGCAACAAATCAGCCTGGGGGGTTCTTGATCCCCTGCTACATTGGTTCTGTCTTAGTGGGATACCCTCTGGTAATTTAAGATAACTATGGAAAATCACCATAGAAATAGTGAAATTTCTCATGAAATGGTGGATCTTTCCATAGTTATGTGAAATTACCATAGGGTATCCCACTATGCGTTTACCGATCCTCCGAAGAAAAGCGGACCACAATCTCTGGTTGTGAAACGCTGAAAAAAATTGGGGTTGAAGTCGTCAGTTTCTATTCATTTCAGGTATCTACTCAAGATACCCTCTGGTCAATGTTTGAATAACTATGGAAAGATCCACCATTTTCTAGTTCGGTAAATCAACGATTTCGACTGGGCCATGGCTTCAACAGCTATGTAAACGTTGAGGGTATCAGATCATCCCAGCTTATCCCATGATAACATGTACCCGGCCTGGTAAACGTTTACATAGCCATAGAAAATCATCATGTTTAATGGGAAAACTCACTATTTCTATGGCCATTTTCAATAGCAAACTGTAAACGTTTACCAGAGGGTCGTTTTTTAAATGGGATGACGCTTCAGTGAAATCCCATGCCCCATGGCCATCTAAAAAACACCTCCATGGTATGGTCCCAAATGAGTGATTTCATCCCCTACATCCACCATGGTTTCTAGGCGGCGTTGAGTGTTAGGGCGAAGGGTTTGTTAGTGCTTTACTAACGTTCACTTCCATCTGATAATCTGGTCATTTAACATAGATACATTGAAAAAGAAAAACACATTTAATAGCATAATCAACTATAAAAAGGGCCATGTTCAATAGCTATGATTAAAGTAATGATTATGATAGACATATTAATTATTCATAACCCTATTATTTTCATCCCCATTACATGAATAACAAGTGTCAACCATTTGAATTAACGTTGGTAAAGCAATAATAATCCATCCCCAAATTCACCATAGATAGATGGTATAAATTGTAAATCATTCCCAAATGGGATGGTTTATATACTTATCATTTTAACCACATTGCCCTCTGGTAGATTAAAAGTTTGCTACGGAAAATCACATTTTTTTTAGTTCGGTAAATCAACTATTTCTATGGCTATTTCCAATAGCTGTGTTAAATTATCAGACAGTAACTTTTTTAGAAAACAGATCCCCAATTTCAACATAAATAGATTGTATAAACTATAAATCATTTCCATTCATGGGATGGTTCATTTATCATTTTAACAACATTTCAGGAAACTTAACCACCATATTTATAGTTTATCCCATCAATTTGATAGTTTAACCCATATCTTTATAACTTGATATCTTACCCCCCATATCTTATGTATTATGGATATCCAATGGATTAAGCTTTATCTTAAGCACTTTTTTTTAATGGGTTTAACCAAATCCCATTAATTACTATAAATACCATTACTGATTAACCACCATGGTTAAGCCATGGCCCTAATCGAAACAGATGGTTTACCTAGCTACAAAATGGGTGGATCTTTCCATGGCTATGTTAAATGATCAGATGGCAAATATGTTTATAAACCATAGTAAGTATAGATATATTTACCATAAACCATAGTTATTGGAGTTATGTTCACCAACTTAACTAACTATGGGGCACCACCTTGCACCATTAATTACTATAAATACCCCCGCAAGCTGTTCGCCAGGCAGCTCCACTGACCCATTTCTCATCGCCCAGTGCGCCGTGGTCGGCTTCCAGGAGGGTCTCAGCCGGAACTTCCATGGGAATTCCCGGTTCGAAAAGGTGGGGTGACACGGAAAACGCCTGGTTGGAAACCGCAGAAAAAGGTAGATCTGTGTAAATCCTACATAAATATTTTTTGGGGGGGGCTTCAACTGCCTCAACCTGTATTATATGGCTATAAGCATATAGGTCTTAGTCCACCTTATTATTCTAGTTCTTGGGCAGAGCCATCTCGTTAAGATCCGTAGCAGCTACAACATTCGTAGCAGCAACAGTCCTTTTGGACAAAAACATCGGGGGTTAAAGTGGCAAACCATCCATCACGATTTGTGAAAAATGGTTGTGAAAAGGGAAAACCCCATCGAAAAAAATCACAGTAGGGAAAGGACACCTATGTCATGAGCCATGGTACAATGGTACCTATACACACATAACAGGTACTATTTACTGTACATTGATTTTCTATAGGAAAAGTAGGCCCAAACACAGTTCTGAGAGGAATCTCATCTCAAAGTTGTTCGGTCGCCGTCTGAGAAAAGCAGATCGGATACGATTCGTGGCGTAGCCCAGTGATAAGTTGGCTTGTAAACACCCTTGATTACAGATATACCTACCATAGACCCCATTTATTACTGTCAATGGTGGGCCCCCCCAAGTCATAAGTTGGTTTATAAACCTTCAACAGCTACATTTATAAGGATACCATCAGTATATCATGAAAGCATAGTTATATATATATATGGGTAAATGATAATATTTCACTAGCCTGAATTAAAGCCAATTGGGAAT